TTTTTTCTGGCAACAAAACAGATGTTAAGATGTTAAAACACCAAACTGAAACCTTTTGCAAAGAATCATGTCTGCATTGAAACTGATTGGTCCACACCAGAGACAGCTTTCTTTAGAGCCTCGTCTCAAACGGTGTTAGATCAGAGTACGCCAAAAGGCGTACAGCTCAAAGACAATGCACTATCAGGACAATGAGAGCTCGGGGTGAGCATATGTGAGCATATGTGTTTCCCTTTTTTCTGGCAACAAAACTGAAACCTTTTGCAAGGAATCATGTCTGCATTAACCATAGATACTTGTGGTGAAAGCACAAACAAAAAACATGCCCTGACAACCCTTACTAATTGGCTGTGTCGGGTGGTGGCAGGCTTAATGACACATTTATATATTTCCGCGATCTAACCCAAAAAAAAACTCGATTCAGCACTCCTCCTGACTTTTCCTAGACTCCCCCAGAGTGACGGTATCTCTTCGCCCTCGGCCAGACGTTAAGCTGCCGCGCTGGGTAAGGGAAGGAAGTAGAGGGGGGGAAGTTAGGGGGAGGGGGGCACGGGAGGGGGGGCATTGGGGGGTGGGGGTGACGCCGCGGGTAATGGGAAAGTGACCCAGCCCGACCTGGCACGGGGCACCGTGCTGGCAGGGGAGCCCGCTTGGTCAGGATCCAGCGCGCATTCAACCTGTCTGGCAACCACAACTAAATCCATGAACTCGGGAGCCATTAATGTGAGTTATTTAAAACGGCGTAATTGGTGTTAAATTATTCATGGGGGTTAATCTAGCGGTGAGGCGGGTGCAACTGCGATCCGGGCCCACTATTCCCCCAGTCACCGAGTGCCTGAGGTCTTGCAGGAGCCGGCCGCCCTGCGTGTATGTTGAACTTCCTTCGCACCGTTCATGACCAACCGTGCTAATCGGAGGGGGGGGGGGGGACAACACTGAACACAGAAAGCAGCGCTGATCCGTGGTGTGACCTCACGCCATGCTCCGTGGTGTGACCTCACGGCACGCTCCGTGGTGTGACCTCACGGCACGCTCCGTGGCGTGACCTCACGGCACGCTCCGTGGCGTGACCTCACGGCACGCTCCGTGGCGTGACCTCACGGCACGCTCCGTGGTGTGACCTCACGGCACGCTCCGTGGTGTGACCTCACGCCACGCTCCGTGGTGTGACCTCGCGCTCCATGGTGTGACCTCACGGCACGCTCCGTGGTGTGACCTCACACTCCGTGGTGTGACCTCACGCCACGCTCCGTGGCGTGACCTCACGGCACGCTCCGTGGTGTGACCTCACGCCACGCTCCGTGGTGTGACCTCGCGCTCCATGGTGTGACCTCACGCTCCATGGTGTGACCTCACGCCACACTCCGTGGTGTGACCTCACGCTCCGTGGTGTGACCTCACGCCACGCTCCGTGGTGTGACTTAACGCCACGCTCCGTGACCTCACCCTCCGTGGTGACCTCACGGCACGCTCCGTGGTGTGACCTCACGCCACGCTCCGTGGTGTGACCCCACGCCATGGAGCGCTCTCCCTCTCTGCTGCTATTCCGGCCACACTCAGCTGGAGTCGTGGGAGCAGAGCAGTCGCTATCCCGAGCTTGTCGGCCTCTGCTGGCAAGTAGATGTGACATTGGAATATGGCAATCCAGAGGTCACTGCTTTAATATCCTGGCGCAAGACAAAAGTTGAAACACTGGGCCAGTCTCTTAAATCAACCGCCCCCAGGCACCTCTGCCCACCCAACAGAATGACTGACTAACACCACCACAGTTAGTCGATAGCCAGGTCACATGTATCTACGTGAACTTCTTTAGCACCGGGGAGGTGCGGGGGAAATACAACAAACTAAACACAAAAACCTGTTCTAGAGACATTAGTTTTCATTTTATATTTAAGAGTGCATAGAGCCAGTGGCTTCCGTATAACCACCACATGTGGTGGGGTAAAGTGTGGGGTACTCCCACCTCTTTAACGATGTTTGGCCAGTGTGGAAGAGTAGGCCAAAATAGCCCGCATAGGGGCTCACAAGAGCTTCCTCCAGCGGGGAGGCCCTTCCATCAGCAGTGGAGTGAGCGAGTGAGCGAGCGAGCCAGAAATTGCAGGGCTGCACCTTAAGCCCTCTCACCGTCATCCCGTGCCGTTTAACTCGAAGCAGGCTGCGTGACCCACTCTGGCTGCCATCGCTTTTTAAGCGTGGGGAGGTATGCCGTGACAGGAGGTCGTCACAGCAAGTGGACATTGGTCCAAAGTGCTCCCGATAAGTTGTGGAGGATTTCCGTTATCATTCATCCGCGATATTTATGTTTGTGTGCAAGTGGTTCTCTGAAGGCATGGAAACCACGTGTTTATTGTCGTACTGTTATACGCCCCGTGTACACCTGTACACACACGGGTAGCCTGGAGCGCAGTGCTCGTCAAGACCGGTTTATTTGCAGGGCGTTTTGTATCTGCGTGGTTCTTCCGCCCTCCGCCACTCTGTGGAAGTTCCAGTTTGGCTTCTTTTGTGTCGTTGTGGCGTTTGTTAGAGCTCAGTTTCAGGGTAAAGTCATTATTACCGGAACTCGTACAAAACGGGCATAGCTTGGGCAGAATATTGCTGCGTTTTATTGAACACTTGTGCCACGTGTAGATGATTCATTAATTCGTGGGGAAACCACTCTTTATTAGAATCATCTGCTTCAATTAGACCTTAATTTGTCATAAAATATGCAGCGGTTGTATATTCTCTTACATTGATGCTGTTTACTCGAGTAGATATTTGTAACTGTGGGGGTTTGGTAATGAACACAAAGTACACAGATAAACGGTGTACTTTAGTTTAGTCCACGAGGTTTGTTCCCGTAACTTTTCGTGAAATTACTAAAGTTGCAGTGTAATTTTATTCACAATTAATCATTTACAGACCTTTGTCCATTCTGTACACTGCTGGAGGAAGGCCTCCATGGGGGGTTGTTTGACCATACTTCACCACGCTGGTCAATGAGTGTTAGTGAAGGGGTGCCCAGAACCGGTTTGTGGTATTATTCACCCCTGATGCTGGCCATGGCTGGGTTCGTACACAGTTCTGCTAACCACTGCGTCATAGCTCTGCCCACATATGTTCATTCTAAATGCGTTAAAATTAATGGATATTGTACCCATTGAATGTATGCATTTGCTAAAAACATATATACATTCTAACTTCCCTTATCTACAAATATTTTCACATTCTCACCCCCCCCCCCCCCGTGGAATCGTAGATATACAGTAGACGTACATCAGCTGTGAAGGTCCCACGATGTGATGTGGGGGTATCCAAGGCTTGAGGCTTTGTGGTCATGCGTGTGTGACGTGTGCGGAGGAATGTTGGCTTTCCCCAATGCTAAAGACACAATAACGTCGTCGCTCATCACGAGTCAACGCGCCCCCCCCCCCCCCCCCCCCGTTGGGTGATATGTGCCGGATTTTGTCACCGTTTAATTGCGCAAACGCATGCTACCCGACTCTACCGATTTGACCGTCAGGTTACATGTAAGGTTGTTTTGTAAACCTGTTTTCCCGCATACTGAATTTCAAAGCTAATCGTGCCACTATATGAAATGTTCCTGGGAGGGGGGGGGTAGAAAAACTAGGGGCAATTTTTTTGTTTGCTTTTAGAATGCCGTATACAGTGACAGTGTTTAAGAGTGGGCACAGCCTGCTGTTGAAATCAGCAGGCTTGGCAAGGAAGCAATCAAGCGTCGCGCTCTCATTTTGTTGCCAAAACCCATCGAACTCAGGTGCTCGGCAATCTAGGCCAGGCACGGAACACGCCTTGACCTCATCCCTGCCACATATCTCTTGTGCAGAGAGAGCAAGCATTTGAAACTGCCCCTCGCGATCCGTGACATTGCAGACTTGGGAAGCGTTCCTGTGTGTTCTGCCGAGAAGTGTTCCATCTCTTGGGTTGCCACCTCTTGAGGTGCAACAAACCTGAACACGTGGGAAGAAGAATACCTGACAATATCAGAAGTGGGGAGAAACTGCCTGCCAATGCGTTGTCTTGTGCGGATTATTCACGCAGCTGACAGATAACGGTGGCCTTGGGAAGACTTTGTGATTTATACCTCTGAAAAAGGGACGGTCTTGTGAAAACCAGGTCAGCCGGCTCTCGGCTGAAAGGCCTGGGACTTCACAGATGCACAAGACGGAAAAAGCGAATAATATCTGCCGTGAGCACGGTCAAAAATGTCTGGCCTCATGCCACCCAGCGCTGGTTGTGACTGACTGGAGGCCATGCACTGCCCAGCGTGCAGAGGGGAGGGGGTGCGCGGGTGGCCAGTGAGCGGGGGGTGGGCGGGTGGGGGGCAGAGGGGGGGCACGGGGAGGGGGATAACTGCTGAGCTATGCGGGTAGAGAGTGGGGGGGGGGGGGTCATGCCTCTAGGATGGACGAGGCCCATGGATCTACGACGATGAACTCTTGGAGGCTCCTCTTGTTCACGAATTCACTTGTCCATTGCTGCTGCTGCACACCAGCTCAAAGCTAACAAGAACACTCCCGTGTAACACTTACAGGCACAGCCCTTTGGTTAATCAACTGCTCGTTGAGGGACTCCCCACGTCGCGCGGGTTTTAAGCGTTATTTGACCATACTTCACCATGCTCACCAGCTCAGGCTGGTGAATTCAGGAATGTATACTTTTGAGTACGGTACATGGCTACAATGGATTTTGCTGCACTGCCTTCACTGACAATGTAACACTGAAGCAGCAGCCTACACCACCGGTATTACGCATATCGGTTTCATAGCCAAGCATGATCCAGGATCAAAGATATCCTATTTTCCAAGATCTAACAATATCAGGCACATTCGTGGTTATTTTCGCAAAGGCAATGCTATAGATGACATAATTAAGAATGATTGTGACGCATATATTTTTCTGAGAGTTTTCTGTGACCTTGCTGGGATGACTTTCTTGGAAGTTCACTTTTTGATGTGCGTGTGGGTTCCCCCCCCCCCCCCTTCATATTTCCCTTTCAGAGAAATTTAATACGTACGTGACACTCAAAGTGCAAAATGTGAAAAGCACGACCATTGCAGTCCGTGGAAATCAGCCCTGCTGGGAGCAAGACTTCATGTTGTGAGTCTCGCCTCTTTTCTCTAATTTCTCGTGGTGTTGCAAACGTTCTGAATAATGTGGTTGGAGAAACTTGTGCCTGTGTCACGCCAGTTTCCGTAACTGACATCTTGGGTGGCCATCAGCGTTTTTGCCCCTGAGATCATGTGCACAATCAGATTGAATGTGTTTTAAGTCCCAGCAATGTTGACTTCAGGTTGTGATACACATTATGCCTCTATATAAATAATAATGATAATTATAATAATTTACAACCCATTGCTGGATGAAGGCCTCCCGATGTATGTATGTTGAACTTCTTTCACGCCATACATAGCCAACCGTGCTAATCGGAGGTGTTGGTTGTGGGGGTTGTTTAACTATACATCACCACGCTGGTCTGTGCAGGTTGGTGAGAGTGGCCAGGACAGGTTTCAGATTTCACTCAATTCACAGTGCATCTAGCTGCACTCCTCCAACCCAATGCCATCATATACCAAGCACATGTGGCAAAGAAACAATCCTTCCAGGTGACCAAAGTGAATGTGCCATAACACAGTAGAACTGTGATCTTAGAAGGTCCTCTTATCCAATAATTCAATACATTGATGAATATGTCAGGACCAGCACACCCATTATTCATTGACGCCGATGAGCCTAATATGGGAGTTTTAAAAAATGCAAAAGAAAAGCCAATCGTGACCGAAGTGTCCAGACCTTGGTAAAGGTTCCATGTTTCAGACGTTGCTTAAAAGGGCCATTTACCTGATCTGTGCCATCTGTCTCCACCACAAAGGAGATGCAGTGAACGCTGACATCCTCAAGACCACGATACTGTGAAACATTGGAAGCGTTTTTCATTTTGCGGGAAGAATGCATTGCACATGACACAAAAGTTGGCCCGCAAAATTGGTGCAGTGCATCACCCTGTGCCAGAGTATTGCCTGCACAAGGAGATACCACGGAGACATTTCTCAGATCCCTTGAAGTGACCTCGAATGCACGATAGGGGCACTTGTTCACTCTCCCTAATGTGGAATATGTTTGTGGCATGGCAGTTAAACCATGACATTGAATTTTATTCATTCGCAGAGCTGCAATGTTGACAGATTGTAACAACAAAAAACCGTTTTGTTTGATGCGTTTTTGTTCAGCCATTGGTGACTGGGCTGAAACCATCAATAACTTTCTGCACCCGGGAACTCGGTTTAATCATCCCAGAATTGTGAAGCCTACCGCACGTCACGAGATGCGGGCATCAGAGTTCACGCACATAAGGACATTGCTCTGAAGATAAAATTACTGTCCATCGACTGATGTGGTTTGAAGTGGGCTCCCCATGTCTACAAACCACATCACAGTAAAGAGGAGTTATTCTGTCTGAATTCAACAATGCCACCTTTATAAATCCTCCCTCAGGCAACTCCACCTAGGTCCCCTTTCCATTTTAAATCTCTCCTCAAATCCATCCTCTTCAGCCCCCGTGCCTTCAGACCTCCTTCATTGCTTCTTTTCTCTCCTATCGTTGAGTGAATGAGTGGGTCAGTGAAGTGAGGGAGCGGGTGGGTGGGTGGGTGAGTGAGTGGACGAGTGAGTCATTCCTTTCTCTCCTCTTTTCTCTGTCCCTTTGATCTCTCCCCTCTGGTTCGTCCTGCGTAATGCTCTGCTCTGAGAGGTGAGTTACATTGTGGGAGCAATTTAAATGTAAGTCGTATAAAATTAGCGGACACAGTGGTTAAAGCGTCATTATGAAATGCCTCTGGTGCTCATTTCAATTGGTGTGTCTGAGCTTGCGGGATAAATTCTGCACGTACGGAGAAGTGGCCAGGAGGGATTGTGGTCTGATTTGTGAATTTTTAGCGTACAAATTTCAAGATATAGTATATAAATATATAATTCAATAACTTATTAAATATATTGTAACCAAATCTAGGTTGCCAGAGGTGCAGGGAGCTACTGCCAGTGGGTAGTGTATGAGGCTAACAATAATCCTGGCACCAACATATCTCTCTCAACTTATCACACTGCACAACCTAGCTCGGATAATTGGAATCTTATCACCTGGCAGTCATGCCGACCCAACTAGCCAGAGCTGGTGCCTATCATGTTCTCCATCTTACATTATCACATCAGTCATGAACTGCTACGTCGAGGTGTATTTCAGGTCTCCAAAAAAATGTGTGTTCATGCCGAACGTTCGACCTGAGCGCAAGCCGTCGAAGAATGTGGAGTGGGCAAATTTTCCTGACGGCGGTTGAGTGTGCCGCTGTGGAGGATGTGTGAAGGGTCTCCACGCCATCGGGCACCTTCAAGTTGTTTTCAAATCCAAAAATCCGAGGCACAAATGTAATTCGTCAGGAGCAGCATGCCGAGCTGCCTCTGCTAATATTCTGGGTTTCAATTCAGGCCTCCTCACATGATTAAACTGGGTATTATACTCTTTGGTTCTTTCGGTAAAGTCACGTAGGTGAAAATAAAATAATGATGACGGAAGCTTGTGTTGCCTCCGATAACGTCGTGATTTCGTTTTTTTTTCACCTACGTGACTTTACCGAAAGAACCAGAGTATGAATCCTTGCAGTCACGAAAACTTCAAATCTAAACTGGGTATTCAAGTGTTATGAGTTAATGGTCTCAGACTGATCCCCAATGACTGCACACGCATTGTCCTTTTTGTAATTGGATTGTCACTTAATTCTGCATTTTAGTTGTATTGACATTGGGCAAACAATTTGAGGGCCTTTAGAGGTAGACACATCTCCTCGTGTTCAATAAGAGGCCTCTTTGCAAGAGGTATTTAGGGGTCTCTCTTTGCCACGTAGTGATACACTGCTCACTCTATTGAAACGTATTCATCTCACCCTGTGAAACTGCTGACTTATTTTGAATATAATGCTAAGGCAGGAAATGTCAAGCTGACAGTGATTTCACCAGCTCAGCTAAAGCGTGTTATACACAAATTTGCCTTATATCTTCAGCCTGCCAATACTTTCCAGGCTTGTTGTTTACATGCTACTCGTATATGATGCTACCTAAGTATTTATGCTGCATAAGTATGTTCGATCACCTTCTTGCATGAATATGCCTATCATAATAATATAAATTAATATTGACATTTCACTACACAAAATGCCTTATCTATATTTACTCAACCCTGACACTATTGCAGGATTGTTTTCATTCAGCCCCGTGCATGTTTGACAGTGATTACCTGAATCAGTCTTATCTTACATGTTCTTGTATTCACTGGTGCCTGACAGACACTGATGGATGAAGATAAATTTAGTTTGGGGTCTGCAGGTGACACGGTCCAGTGGTAGCAATCTCCATCTTTACCTTTTTTTTTACCTATTTCAATTTTAGCAACCACAGATAGGAAAAGTGCCAATAGCGTACACCTATCACTTCAAGCATCCAGCAGCTTGGAGCTCAGGTTAGAGCTTTTAATTCAGAGTCAGAAGACTGCGTTTAATATTCAGCCTGGGTCAACTCAGCCTATCAACCCATCACCCCTCTCGGCGAGTCGATAAATTGGATATCACTTTTGTCCGACATCAACAATGGCTGTTGTTCTACGAAGAGAAAGACCCCACCGTAGGAGCGTGACATTTTCACGACTGGCTCAAGGCCACTAACTCAGTTCAGTTTCAGTTTCTTTTGAAGTACCCTGCGAGCCAAGAAGATGACCTCTGGCCAAGTCATATGGGACACTCCGATGATGTTTTACTTTTTAGTCCAGTGTATGTATATACATTGAAATTTTTTCACAGCTTATGTAGCAAACCGTGCTAACCAAAGGTACGGGGGAAGGACCACAAACTAAACAAAGTGCATGAAGCGTCGCAGGGAAAGCACCACGTCCCGGCCACCCTTGTCTCCATAGTGGTAGCGTTTGTTGTCGCACTGTAGCGAATGCTCATGTTTGAGCTTTCACAGGCCTAGTCCACGTCCACTGCAGGTACAGGGGCGGTGGCGTGGCCCCACTGCCTGTTGTGAGAGGTTCACGGTTTGACTCCAACAGCCACGCTGATGAACACTGCGGGTGTATGAACCGTTACAATTCGCTCCTCTTTGCTTCATAGTGGACGTTAAGTATCCCGTGACGTCATTGGCAAGAGGATGGCATCATTGTGCGCCTGTGTCACGGTCAACATGCTGAAAATTACCCGCAAATTACTCAGTTGGAATCTACGTGGCCATAATTGCCCCCTACTGGCAAAGGGATGATTTAGCCACTTTATTTAGCAACACTTCACGTTATATAATACGTATATTCAATTACTCGGTTATACGCTTCCCTGTGGATATGTTGTGGTTGACATTGAAGTCTTGTCATGACCTCAAGCTAGGCAGCAGAGCCCCCTACAGACAACGTGCACACAGCACAGTGTATCCACTCTCCCCGTGGGTGCCCTGGGAATTGCTGTGACTCCAAGTGAATGGCAAAATCTTCGGCGTTCATTAAAAAGCCTGACGATTTTGGTAACACATTGCAACAATTACATCAATGATTCATTAAACAGCCACTTGTTTTTAGCAACACTTCACTTTATATTGTGCATATACAGTTTTCAGTTTCTCTAATTGGTATTGTCCATAGCAAGCATCGCACCCCCCCCTCCCCTTTTACTGCAAACCCTTTGGCAGGATCCTCCAGAAAAAGAGTTGTGAGACTCACTGAGGCTTTGCTGGGTAAAAAAGCGTAAATAAATAGTCATACATCGGCAAAATATACCAATATGGCTGAAGAAGACGGCTTTCAATCAAATGCATATTTGCACCACGACGTATGGATCATAATTATGGACACTGAATATGATTATTGAACAAAAGCCGAGAGATACGCGAAGACCCATGGAGAGATTCACGCTTGGAAATACAATGAGACGTAAAGAGACACATTGATGAGGGGACGTGTGCGCATCGGAGACATAGTATCGACTGCTAAGCAACGTCAGCGGGCTTGGCCAGGACACGTCATCGCTAGGACGTGCCCAAGAGGACGATCACCGTAGCGATGGAGC